AAAAAAATGATCATGCAGGTATATCCATGTTGCAGCTGTAACAGGAGGAGGAGTTGGAGGTCCGGAGGGTGTTGCAGTCAAATGCTTGTGAGGAACAGAGAAACCAGTTGGAGAAAGAAATGAAGAAATGAAGAAAATTGGAGAAGGCTTCAAGAGAAATAGCAAATAAAATGAAAAAAAAAAGGCAAAAAGAAAACAGAAAACAGGAAAAAAAACAATTTTCATTGAGGCCAAACAGTTGGCTGCTCTGTTGCATGTCTGGGTAGCTTGACCATTTGGTTAATAAAATTCTCAAAACCACAAACAAACCACTCTAAGAATTTGATAAAATGTGTAAAAAAGATTGTTTATTACTTTTATAAAAATAAACAAAAAAAATAAAAATATAAATTTTAAACAAAAATATTTTATAATTTAAATAAAAAAAAAAAAAAAAAAAAAAAATATTATAATATAACATGGGAACATTTTATCTTTCTGAGTGTAAAAATTTTTTTAGGATTATTTTCCCTTTTTTTTTTTTTTTTTTTTTTTCTTTTTTTTTTTTTTTTTTTTCCGTCCTCTGTTCCACCCACCTAACAATATACTTCCCTACGTCACATGCAATTTTATTCGGTGCCCTAACCATCCCATTTCTTCCTTCAGGAAGTGCTTGAACAGAAGGTTTACGTTTATAACTTAACCCTATGAATTTATCAATGACTACGCAATTTGAATCAATTAGATGAGGGACACAGGCTTGGATAAATGAGAGATGGAGTGGCTTCGGAGAGGAACAAGAGCTTCGTCAGAGTCCGCGAAGCTTTCGATTGACGCCTAGGTCATGAAGGTTACAGCATTGGAACCCCGTTGAAGTTTCAACGTTCGCATTGCGAAGAGCCAGTCAGTGAAAAGCTCCTCTCCTTAAACGCTAAGGTAAATTAAAAAATATATATTTAACAATTATTCCACGAGGGTGCGTTGGATATGAGATGATAGATAGCCAACGAGGCGAGTAGCGCCGAGTTGGCTATAATCATCCCATATCTAACAAGCGCGAGTGGAATAATTGTTTTATTAAAAACGCCCTTAAAATCTCGTTGAATCTCCCCTACTATAACAAACCGGAAAAGACAAGGGACTTCCGCTATTCACATGTCACACGTCTATCAAAACTGTCAACGCGCGAACGGACTCGCCTGGAGCCCTGGACTGCATGAATGAAAAATCAAAACATTGTAGCGATAAACATTAGTTTTTTAAAAAACTCATCGGGATTCTAGGATTTTACACAGCAGAACAACTAAAAAAACCTGGCAGATAATGTGAAGGATAAACAAGCCGCAGTTATCCATCGGCGAGTGACTCGATCAAGGAGAGCATGGTGTAATAGCTCATATACCATAACGGGTAAGCCAATCAAAATGCTAGAATTACATTATCCAATGATTCAGTTTTTAATAAATATTTAACAATTATTCGCCGAAGGCGAAGTTAATATTGTTGAATAATCCCCGAGACGAAGTCGAGGGGATTATTCAACAATATTAACTGAGCCTGAGGTGAATAATTGTTTTAGTATATTCACACGAAAATAAAATAAAGTAATGAAACAGGATGTGAAATCGCCATTTCATCAACAATACTTGAGCATAAGGTCCATAACGACATAAGCTTGGACAAATAGATTGCCATGAGTATCGCTCAGACTCATCAACACGGTACGAAAGTATGACCCTCAGAACAATAGATGGGCTCTCAATTCACAGCGCTTGGAAAGGATAATGAAGAGCAAGTCATATGCAGGTCCGATTTGACACGTGCGCCTTTTTCACATACCGTAGAATTCCGAAAATAAGCCCCTCCAAAAATAAGCCACCCAAACCGGTAACGCAAAAAAACCCTCCGTTAAATCGCCACTCCAAATATAAGCCCCGCGGTGGTTGTACTTGGAAAATTGCCCTGAAATACAAAGTAAAACGGTAAATTTACTTCTTCTTATAAGGCTAGCCCAATCGATTTTGAAACGCAGATTTCCCTCCGTAGATAAGCCCCTCCGAATATAAGCCCCTCAAAAAGGGCCTTTGAAAAATATAAGCCCCGGGGCTTTTTTCCGGAATTTTAGGGTACCTAAGATCAGAAATGTCACGAACGCAATGTGAGTAACAACAACAGCAACGATAAGTTCATCTTAACGATCATACTAAACCTATAACAATAACAATGCACACTTAAATTTACATAGATTTTACGTTTACTAACATAGGCCTTTTTCTCCTCAAGTTAACTTACCCATTTCACAATTATCCCCTTGAAAACCATTGACACAAACACATCGGTATCAATGACTTCCAAATCCTGTTTGGCAGGTTGCGCCATTTAGACATGGACCATTCAGACAAGGATTCTGTGGAAATAATATGATAATAGATAGAAAAATAAATAAAATAAATAAATGTGAATAATTAAGAAAAAATCAATAATAAAATTCAAAAGTTGTTTGAATACTTCCGATATGATATAATGCCCCTGGTTCAACCATATTACTTACGTAAAATATTGCACGATATGTAGATCCATGTCTAGCTTCCATATCGTCCAAAGGGGCTTGCAAATGTGTCATATTATTTAGTTCACAGAGAGACGGACCATGGTTGTATGATACACAGTTCGGCTCAAGGTAGCATTGTAACTCGCAGTTGTCCGAGTCGATTTCTTGGAGACTTTTGATTACGTGATTTCTCAATGCCTTATTTTCCATTTGCTCTTTGAGTTTAATTTTTCGACAGTGCCCTACAATTAAAACAGTGATATCTTATACATTATAGAGTTAGGCCAGCATCTATGAAAATTTATTGAAACAAAAAGAAAGCGTTTACATGCATATGCGAAAAGGGTTAAACTCCCGCAGGATTTGTTTTGAAAACCAACATGGCTCCCGTTTCATGGTATTGTTTTGGAACCCCAATATGGCCGCCATGACGTCATGTGAAAACACTCCATTCATTGTAATTATTTATCATTTATTTACTTTTCTGTGGCCTACACTTAATTCCATCCGCCAAACTGACGTTGACACATTAATGATTCGTACACAAAGTAGGGGGGGGAGGGGGTTGGGTTTGAAATAATACAGTAAAAGATTGAAAATCATTATCGCACGGAACAAGGTTATGAACATTTTTCTAGCACAATTTAATTATATAATGTCACTAAAAAGATTAAGACATAGATATGATACCAAAGCATTTTATACGTTAACCGCCCACAATGGCGGAAAGCGACACGTTTTCCATATCACTGGGGACCATTGCATCGATCGTAGTGTAAGAATATCTTGAGGATTATTATCCCTTTGTTTGTTTGTTTTTTTTTTTCTTTTTTTTTTTTTTTTTTTT